CTTCCTATTGCTATGAAGGATCTCGATGAAAATGAATTATGGTTCGATTGCTTTTATAGTGGAGTCTGAGTAACCCAAACGATGGAATAAAATCCTTTTCTTGATCCTTGGAAGTGTTACGACCAATATCTATTAAGGATGCATTGTACAAGCTTTTAATGCTCTTTGTTACTTGAATCGTTTTCTCTTCCTTGGAAACCGATCATGTAACGATGCTCTGCGTTACATTTATGAAAGTATTTCTTTTTATTTTTTTTCTTTTTGATGTGACAAAAAAGGGAGAAAGATATAGAAGTATTTAATAAAAGAATTTGAACCCATTTAGTTATTAATGTTGTTTATCTTAATTATTTTTTTTTTTAAATTATGTTATTTTTGTTATTTTGGTTATTTGTTTTTCCTGGGAGATATATTTTAGTTTTCTTGTATATAAAACTAAGGGGAGCTTACAAACATCAACTTTGGATTATTAGACTCAGATGGAGCTTAAAAACCTCAGACTCCGAAGTTGCTAAGAAAATTAAAATAGCCCAACATTGACATATTTTAGTTTTATTGAATATAGAACTTAGGGGGGAGCTTATAAATCTCAACCTTTGACTATTAGACTCGGGAGGAGCTTACAAACCTCACACTCTGATGTTGCTAAGAAAATTAAAATAATCTAACATTGTTCTTTAAATACTTATGTTTGTCATCCTAAAAAGGGGGACATTGTTAGAACGAGATTCGTTCATGACATATATCCTTTGGGTTTTGATGATAACAAGGTATTGAAAGAACAATGATGTTATCTAATGTGTGTTCTAAGTTTGCAGGTTCTAAATCTTAAAGAGAAACAATTCAGAATATGACAGAATAATGCACTTGAGAGAGGCTGAGTTACTGGCTTCTAGTGGTTAAGAACTTATGCACATTATTAAGTGAAGTCTGATGATATAGGTTTGTGTAGACTCTGAAGCTGAAGATTTCAGCATCAAACGAGAAATATATTATCTCTACACTTAGTAAAGGAATCAACTTCTGGTGATCGTTCATAACCAAGAACAAAGCTAAGTTATCCGTACTGCAGAAAGAAAGCTACAGTGTCAAATCAGTTTGTCAGTTAGAGTTTGTGTTCACGTGGATCAAGAAGAGTTAACATGCTTTACATATATCTACTCTCAACGAATCTATAGTACAAGATCACAAGGAAGACGTAATGGTTATAGAGTTACACGATGGATAAAGGTCTATTGGTGTATCTATCTTCAACGTCTTTTGTACTATATAGTAACAAAGACACTTGTACAAGTTATCTCTTCCAACGACTATCATTCTACAAATGCTACATAAGTAGCTGAAGATTCAATATAGAATCAACAAGGAACAAGGAAAATAAAGAATAAGATCCAAGAAGAAAGAAGTGTTGCACACTTCTATCAAAATGGAAGAATAACAAGATCAAAAATGACAACACAACCGAGTATGCAGATTTTTTGTTATATGTTATAAATTGTAAAAAGACTTAAGATTTATTAAACATTGAATATCTTAGAAATCTTAAGTGTTGTGATCTTTGTTATGGTTATTTACCATGTACCTCTAATTATGTATCAAGTACACCTTGTTCTCTATTATGCTAAACAAGTTATTTAGTAGTTTAGATAAAGGTTATTGTTATGTGCTTGAGCATCAAAGTCTCTTGTTGTGAGCTTGATCCAAGTAAGTCTCCTGCTATGTGTTAAAGCATTGAAGTCTTAATCAGTTGTTGATTGAGCAAGGAAGTCTTTGACCGTGGGTCTAAATAGAAGTCTTGAACCAGAGGGGTTTAAGCAGAAGTCTTGAGTCTGTGGGATTTGAGCAAGGAAGTCTTGGACTGTGGGTCTAACAGTCTTGAATCTGAGGGGTTTAAGTCGAAGTCTTGAATATGTGGGATTTAAGCAAAGAAGTCTTGGACCCTTGGTCTAAGAAGAAGTATTGAACCTGAGGGGGTTTAAGCAGAAGTCTTGGATTTGTGGAATATAAGCAGGGAAGTATTGGACCGAGGGTCTGAGCAGAAGTATTGAATTCGTAGGATTTGAGTAGAGAAGTCTTGTACTCGTGGAGTATGAGCAAAAGTATTGAACCCGAGGGATTTGAGCAAAGAAGTCTTGAATCTGTGGGATTTAAGCAGGAAGTCTTGAGCTGAGGGTCTGAGCAGAAAATTATTATGCTTAAGTGCATAAGCAATTGTAATCATGATTTGATTATAGTGAAAAATCTCTTGTGCTGCAAGGGGACTGGACTACTCTCAGTTTATGAGGAACCGGGGATAAATCTATGTGTGTTGTGTTATTATTTATTTGCTTCTATTATTATTCCGCTGCAACAGATAATTAGAATCCGAACATGGTTTAGAATCTGAACTTTGTTTAGAAGCAAAATGAAAACGGATAACACAATTCAACCCCTTTTTTGTGTATTTTTTCACCTCCACAGTTGCCCTAGGTCCAACACATAGGCTAATGGTCATTATTTCCTATGTGCTCAAAATCAAATTAAAAGAGTATCTCACATAGACAACATTAAGAACAATAAGCAATTGCATACAATTATAGATCAAAGAATTCATACAAAGTCAAATCAACATATTATCAATTATAGGTTCATCACACACAACCTAACCTAGAGGAGTTTAGCTACTCATAATTTAAATTATAATACCAATTGAATAAAAAAGAATAACATATGATTTCCCTTGAAGAATTGACATCCAATGGCTTAAAATGCTCTCTAAATCACCCTTGATGCTGTAAAAGTCGTACTTACAGTGCCAGTTTTTGTAACCCTTGCAAAAGTGCACAATTTCCCTTTAAAAGAGCTAACAATGGATCAAATGCGTCAGAAAAAGTCCAAATAACAGGTCATCGTGCGTGTCATACCTGCACCGTACGCGATGCAGTTAGTACAAAACTATCGCCTACACGATTCTTCGTAATGCTGCGCGTGATTATTCCATTAGTTGCACACTTTGCTCATTTTTTCACCTAATTTTTCATTAAATGCAATTTCTTCACACTTAGCTATTTTTCCTTATTCTTTGGTCTCTCTTCTTCCTTTTAGTTCATCTTTCACTTGTTTTTCTCTGATTCTTTGCCTAATTTCATGCAATGATGGAATGTCTTCAGCAAGACATGATAACATGTGATGAGCATTTGGCTAAATTGATGAGAGCTAGAGTGTTGAGAAACCATAACACAATCAATTACCATATCTTCTCTTCTATATGGTTTAATATCAATTCCGAGCATCATTTTCTTATGTCCAATAGTTCTTGGCTGCTTGGAAATGGAAATCAAAATATATTTTGGAAAAATGTTTGGTGTGGAAATCTTTTATTAGAGAAAACTGATATGGCCACTCTGGTTGATAATGCCATAGACCATGACTTAAGGGTTTGTGATCTTCTACATAATGGTGAGTGGTCCGTTCATGAGGCTTGGCATAACTTATTTCCTTTTTTGTTGCAATATATTACTCAAATTGTTCCTTCTCTTGAGGTCTCAGGCTGTCTGGTATGGCATGCTCTTAATAATGACTTGCTTTCTTTAAAAGAGGCTTATATCGTCCAATTTATTCCTTCCCAAAAAATGGATTGGACTAAGTATATTTGGAGTCTGGATCTTCCTTCTTCAAACTTGTTCCTGCTTTGGCGCCTCATGCATGATAAAATTCCCACAGATGATAAGTTGTAGCAAAAGGGTTGCACCTTGGTTTCTATTTGCAGTTGTTGCAGTACCTGCACGAAAACATCTAAGCATGTTTTTCCCTATGTGCTTATGCTGTTAGAATCTGGAAGTAGCTCAATAGGCTTCTCAATTCCTCAACAACATTACTCTAAGGATGATGTTTGCTCCTTATGCGACAATAGTTGATCCCCTCAAGGATCTTTCATAATTAAGGCGACAATTATTTTCACAATCTTCTCCATCTGGCAGGCCTGCAATTTGGCAAAGTTTCGCAACAAGATTTTTTCTACCCACACTTTAATCTCAAACATAATAGCTCAAATTCGTATGTCTGGTAAAAATTATTTGCTCAAGTCTTCCTCTTCCATGTCAAACTTTAATTTACTCAAATCTTTCAAGGCTGACCTTCATCCTCCTAATGCGCCTCTGGTGATAGAAGTCATTTGGCAGCCTCCCAATGCCAACCGGCTCATATGCAACTGCGACAGATCTTTTGACTCTCAAGTTGAGATAGTAATGGAAGTTAATGTTAGTGGAGTCAAGGGAAATTCATTTGTTAAATTATATATTAAAATTTATTGTTAAATCTAAATGATTTTATTTTAAAAGAAAAAATAGGTAAATAAATGGATATGGTAAAATCCAAAAACCAGGTTGATATAGTAATGAAAGTTAATGTTAGTAGAGTCAAGGGAAATTCATTTGCTAAATTATATATTAAAATGTATTGTTAAATCTAAATAATTTTATTTTAAAAAGAAAAAATAGGTAAATTAGAATAACCTTGAAGGATAATTTTAGAAAATGAAATAAGCTACACCAAAATAATGTTTTGGCTTTATATATTGTTATAAAAAAAATTATTGTTAAATCCAAATAATTTTATTTAAAAAAAAGATAAATTAAAATAACTTTGAAGGATAATTTTAAAAAGTGAAATAAGCTTCACAAGAACAATGTTTTGGCCTTATATATTGTTATAATTATAGATGACCTTTCAAAAAAAAAAATCCTGCCAAACAAATTTCAAATCTAAGGTTTTGTTTGTATTACATAAGAAAACAGACTAAAAAAAGAAATGAACAGATAATATAAAAAGTAAAAGAAATATAATATAATCCCTTCAAGCCTTATATATTGAATAATAATTGGATAAAATCTATATGAATCATACACACCTATTATTGAATAAATTTAAAAAATAAATATTTTTATACAATAAGGAAACCTTGTTTGTTGAAAAGCAACTGTCTATCCCATCCCATCCCAAGAAATATATTTGGTTTGAAGATGGGATTGGGATCTTCTGATTCTTCAAGTGATGACAACATCGACAACACCAACCTCAGCAACCCTTTGTTGGTCTCTGAATCTCATTATCCTAAAAGAACAGGTTCTTTTTTGTGTTCTGAATCTCATTTTCTTGATCTTTATTGTTGTGATGTAATGTTATTGTTATTGTTTATGATATTAGGGACTGTTTGGACAGCAGTTGCACATATAGTGACAGGTGTCATAGGATCTGGAGTGTTGTCTCTTCCATGGAGTATTGCACAACTTGGTTGGATTGTCGGACCAATCTCCATTCTTTTTATTGCTTCTTCAACTCTCTTTTCTGCTTTTCTTTTGTGTAACACTTATCGTTCTCCTAATCCTGAATATGGTCCTCATAGAAGTGCTTCCTATCTTGATGTTGTCAATTTTAATTTAGGTAACTTTCTTCCAACCCTTTTTCTATTTTTCAGTTCTTTTGCATCATTCATGACATGATACAATTAGGTTCATACCTGCTACTAGCATGCTATGTCATATGTCAACATTCAAGATTATTTTAGTTGTAATTTCTAACATTTTCTTAGAGATGTAGATTATGTGGTAAGGAGGGTCGATCAGATAGATGAGTCAAACAATTAAAGGCACGCGATGATCTAGAAAAACTATAAGAGAAGTTTTTTGGAAAGATTTTTAGGTTAACGATTTGGATAGAAACATTGTCCTGGATAAAACATTATGACGAAAGTTGATCCATATAGTCGATCCCACTTAGTGGGATAAGGTTAGGTTTTTGTTGTATTTCATATCATATATATAATACATGTGTAACACCAAAATGGTGTGATCCGTGATGTAATCGGAGGATAACTGGGTAACTTGAGCATGTAGTCACGGGTTTGATTTTTAGCCGGTGCGCGTGGGAGAGCATTTGCTTGGAGAGGTCAACTTCTTGAATTGATCTCCGTGCCTTGAAGAATTAGTCTTTAGTTTCTGGCATAGGGATATCTTTGACAACCAAAGAAACAATACATGTGTGACTAATATAGTCAAACACGTGATCTTTAAGTAGGATCAGATGGCTTGTGAAAGATCAGATCATTAGTACGACATGTAAGATCCTACACAAGGGAAAAATGTTAATTTCATTTATATTTGTAAAATGAAAATCATTATTCAGACCCAAAAAAAGGCCCAACAGGTTTTTTTTTTTACGATGTGATGTCAAAAAGCTTGATCTTGACCACACTGGCGAGGAAAAGAATCTTTCTCTGATTGTAGCACTCTCAGACATCCTTGGCACTTAAGATCTTATGATCTTACGAATCCAACACTCGATTTTGACTATAGTGTGTATACAAAACTCATAGGAAAAAGAGAGGAAGGATAAGGTATGAAATGAGGGGAACATAATTATTAATAACGGTGATACTAATGACCATTTTTACGACTGTTCCAGGCAGGGTTTGAACCTTGTCCCCTAAAGTTACAAAGTCAAGCTCTTATGCTGAGCTGATACCTCTTTGACAAACATATTAACATAAGGTATGAAATGAGGAATAAAAGAATTGGACTATTTTGATAAGAAATTAAAGAGAAGATTCTGCTATTTAATGAGGGAAATGTTATCCTTTTGGTTTTCTTTCATTGCATTAACCATATAAAAGTGTCAATGTATGTTTATAATTTGGTAATATTTCATGTAGTTATTATTTTGCATCTGTTTTAGGCAAGTATGGTACTTCATTTTCTGTAGGCAAGACTGTTATTCTGAGAAAATGTGAGCAATACATTCGCCGCAGATTCTTTTCGATACATTAACTAATGAGAGCTAGTCTGAATCACTCGTAACAAAGAGTGTGAGGCTCCTATGGTTTAGCAGTTCTCGTCTAAATTTCACATTTGTGTAGATATTGTTCTGCTTCTAAGATTTTGGTTTGGTGGTTACAGGAGTTGGGAATGGACGATTATGTGGCCTTCTTGTGAATATATGTATTTACGGTTTTGGAATTGCCTTTGTCATTACATCATCTATCAGCTTAAGGTATGTCACAATGATCTATATAACTGACGTCATTTCGTTCCATTCAACCTGTTGCAAAATGATATACTTGTTTACTTTACTCAATGAAAAATCACTCGACCTATATTGGTACTAACGATTTTGACATCTATTTGTTCTTGTGGATGTAGAGCAATCCAAAACTCAATTTCTCATCATGACAAAGAGAATGAACCAACAAGTGAATTTGCAGATGCATTTTATATGCTGCTTTTTGGGATTCTCCAAATTCTTCTCTCGCAGATACCAAATTTACATGACATCAATTGGCTATCAGTTGTCGCTGCGATTACGTCTTTTGCTTATTGTTTCATAGGAATGGGACTTGCCATCATGCAAATCGTGGGTAGGCTTCATCATCTGATTAATTTGATTAACCGAGTCTTTCCTTAGGCTTAGCTATCATATACTGGCTTGTGCGTGAATTCTCGCTAGAAAATGTATATTGGAACGATTATTAGTTTTCGCACCAATTCTTGCATATAAATTTCCGATTATCATTTTCTCAGAAAATGGATATGCCAAGGGTAGTATAGATGGAATCAGTACCTCTAGTGGAATGGAGAAGTTGTGGTTGATTTCCCAAGCGCTTGGTGACGTGTCATTCTCGTATCCTTTCTCGACTATTATGATGGAAATACAGGTATCTACCTCTTGAATCTCGATTTGTCGGAATACGAGGTTCTTTTAAGAAAATGTGTTATATTTTATTACATAACTTTTGGGTAATTCTTGAAGGATACTTTGAAGACGCCTCCGCCAGAAAACCAAACCATGAAAAAAGCCTCAACCATATCAGTCTCTATCACAACATTCTTTTACCTCTGTTGTGGATGTGCCGGATATGCTGCATTTGGCGATAATACACCGGGAAACCTTTTAACAGGATTCGGATCCTCAAGGTTTCAATGGCTTGTGAACTTCACAAATGCTTGTATTGTGATTCACCTAATTGGTTCGTATCAGGTACATATCTTCAATATACCATCATCAAATTTTACATTGGTGCTCTCTAATTTTACGCCTCGTTGATTCCTGTACTGTCTTAGTGTAGAATGTTACGAAATCATCTTAGCTTAGACATTTCGTGTTTTCTGCGTAAAGGGTAATCTGTATATATATATATATATATATATATATATATATATATATATATATATATATATATATATATATATATATATATATATATATATATATATATGATGTGTTTTAAATGCAGGTATACTGTCAGCCACTGTTTGGCAATGCCGAGAGTTGGTTACGTTTTAGATTCTCCGAGAGTGAATTTGTGAATCACACGTATACGTTGAAACTCCCATTGCTGCCAGCTTTTGAACTAAGTTTTCTCAGCTTATCATTCAGAACTGCTTACGTGACATCAACCGTTGTGATTGCAATGATCTTTCCTTACTTCAACCAGATTCTCGGAGTTTTAGGTAGCATAAGCTTCTGGCCGTTGACAGTATATTTTCCAGTGGAAATATACTTGAGTAGGTCGAATACCGATTCATGGACTGCTAAGTGGATTATGCTTCAAACTTTCAACATTTTTGGACTTGTATTTGGATTGTTCACTCTCGTTGGATGCATTAGAGGAATCGTTACCGAAAGATTAGGCTAAGACGTTTAAGATCACACTTTGAAATTCAGATTCGCATTGATCAATGCGAGTATTATTCTTTAGTTGTAAGTTGTAAGTTGTTTCCACGGATTACAGTGTTTTGCAGGTCAGGTTTTTGAAGTTGGACCAGTAAAAGGTATCTATCTACCAGTGGAGTCAAGAAAATTATCACTTGTTGGACAAAATCTCAGCTGTGTAATTTTTTGTTTGAAGTCTTGGTAATATGAGATTGTGCTAAATAACATTTGTTGAAATAAGCAAGACTAACAGACATTTAAATTAAACCGTGTGTTTTGAAAAGCACTACGGATATATTATTATATATAAATAGATTATAACTAATTACATAATATAGTCGATATGGACTATTTTATATACAAATATTTCTAACACTATATATATTTACAAATATCAACACTCTCCCTCAAGTTTGAACATATAAATCAAATGCACCAAATTTGTTACATATATAGTTAGTTCTGGGACTTCGTAGAGATTTTGTAAACACATGGCAATTGACCATTAAAGTTGGCAAAGTTTGTGACGACGTCGTTTGACTCGATCTTTTCTCTGACAAAGTGACAGTCTATCTCAATATGTTTTGTCCTCTCATGGAAGATTGGATTTGAAGCAATGTGCAATGCAACTTGATTATCACAAATAAGTGTTATTGGTTTTTCTTCTTTAATTTGAAGTTTCTTGAGCAATTGTTTTAACCAAATAAATTCACATGTTGCCACTGCCATGGTCCTATACTCTGCCTTGACGCTTGATCTAGCAACTATATTTTGTTTCTTTCTTTTTCAGGATATAAAGTTTCATCCAACAAGTACACAATATCGAGAGGTGAATCGTCTGTCAATGGATAACCCTGTCTAATCAGCATCAGAGTATTCAACTATCTGGACATGTCCTTATCCTCACACACATGACATTTTCCTGAAGCACATTTGATGTATCTCAAAATCCGGATAACATCATCCATGTGTTCCTAATAAGGGGAATTTAAGAACTGACTAACCACACTGACTGCAAAAGAAATGTTCAAACGAGTGACTGTGAGATAATTCAACTTTCCAACCAATCTTCTATACCTTGAGTTCGATAGAGGCTCCCCTTGATTGGATAGTAGTTTGACACGTGAATCCATAGGAGTATCGGCTGATTTAGCATTTAACAAACATGTTTTTTTCCAAAATATCCATAACATATTTTCGTTGAGAAATCCCCAAACCATATTTAGATTAAGCTACTTCAATACCCAAAAAGTAGCGAAGTTTACCAAGATCTTTTGTCTCAAATTGTTTTGAGAGGTGTTGTTTCAACTTAAGTATTCCCTACCAATCACTGCTAGATATGGAAATGTCATCTACATACAGAATAAGATAAATACACCATTGGGGTGAGCGACGATAAAAATAGAATGCTCAACTTCACTACGGACCATACCAAACTGTTGTACTATAGTGCTGAATCTGCCAAACCAAACTCTCGGAGATTGCTTAAGACCATAAAGAGACCTGCTCTCTGAGCAACAAATCCAGGTGGTTGCTACATATATACTTTCTCTTCAAGATCACCATGTAAGAATGCATTTTTGATGTCAAGTTGATGAAGAGACCAATGTTGAATGGTTTCAATGGCTAGAAGAAGTCTAACAAATGTCATCTTGGCCACAGGCGAAAAGGTATTTTGTAGGATTGGGTTAGGCTCAACCACATTTCTTAACATGGTATCAGAGTCTCGTTTAAGATCCAATGAGTCACCCACCATTTATTTCTACGCTCCAATTGTCTATCTCTAGTCTTGAGTGTAAGGAGGTGTGTTAAGAGTCCCATATTGGATAACATATGGCCTAAAAATGTGTTTATAAGCGGGGCAATCCTCACTCAACCAACCGATTTTGTAAGATTGAGTTAAACCCAACCACATTTTGTGATATGGTATCAAGAGTCTGATTTAAGATCCGGTGGGCCACCTACTATGATTTCCGTTATCGAGCCACCCACCATTTATTTCGACGCTCTAGTTGTCTAGTCATAAGTTTGAGAGGGTGTATAAGAATCCCACATCGGATAATATATGGTATGAACATGTGTTTATAAGTGGGGGTAATCCTCACCCTACCAACCGATTTTGTAGGCTTGAGTTAGGCCCAACCACATTTTTTAACATTGATGAGATTAATTTTGAATGAGTATGTTTAAAAAAACTCACTAATACCAAACAAATTGATAGTCATTTTGTTACTATGATTTTGTTGAAGATTAAAATTGTAGCTTCAGAATGACATGTAACAAACAACAGGTTATAAAGGGACAAGAAGAGGCATCAAATATACCTTGTAACAAAAAAAAAATATACAACAACTAAAGGAAAACAACAAAAGCATGATTCAACATCAACACAACCATTCACAGCGAAGAAAAAAAGACATAACCCCCGCATAAAGGCAATAAAATGACTCAATATATTAAATCATTAGTACAAATAATATATTTTATGGCAAAATTTTCACCATAACCAATGAAAATTCGAGGTCAAATGAAATCAAATATTTTTATAAAAAGTTTAATCTTATCCATTTGTTTTGTATAAACTGGCATGATGTGTAGTTCAGGGTTTGAACGTCGATTCTCATAACCAACATTAAATGTTGATTAATATTTTATTTAATTAAATTGAAAGAAGTTTCTACCTCAATCATGTCTAAATCCAAGAATAAAAATCAATCATTGAAGAGAAATAGATATCTCTAAATCTATCTTGCTTCAATGTTGATAATAACAAGTCTGCATCTAAAGATAATATCTTGAATGACTCCATTGCTCCTTTAAAATTTAAGGTTATCATAGAATCTGTGTTAAAGGACAATTTTATGAGAAACCTTTTATTTCTTCTTATGTCTATGGCAATAGTATGAAAGTTCTGTAAACTTATTTTATGCCAATATCTGATAGTGAATAATATTTAAATCTATGTTTGTCAAATTTCAAAGTCAAAATTTAATCCAAAACAATGAAATTAATGACTCTGTTGAGAACAAGATTTTGTTAGTACCATTACTCATTCTAGGCTCATACACTGGAATGACTCATGGTACTGCTATCAAATTGAGGCATAAAGCAAAAAGAATCTTGTCAAGACTAACACTTATAGACTCGTAGAAATATGAGTACCAATATTTATATTTGTATTTGCTACAGATATGACAGAAGAAAGAGGCAAGGCATCTTTCATGGTTGGTTACGACATGTGATGGAAGAAGAGCCTACATCCCACACTCAAGTGTTAAAAGCTTGAAGTTTGGTGGAGAAAGTGGAATCATCGATGTAAAAGCCAATGAATCAGAATCCACTCAAGAAACTATTCAGATTCCATGATCAGATCTGAATACTCATCTGAAGCATGACCAAGAAAAAAAAAGGTGTGTAATGTTCTTCACTTGCATATTTCTTGACTCAATGAAATATTTGTGTACGAATAAATACAAAGTCTCTGTTAGATCTCTAGAGAAATTGTTTTAATAATATTCAAAGATATTTAAGAAGAAACTATATTGTATTTGTTTATATTGAATATGTCATTAACTAGGTGATGATCATATTTATGGAACTAGTACCTTCACCCTTTGTGATGATACTGTTGCTAGTTAGTTGTCAAAGAAACCAATTTAATATTATTAATCAAGTTTGACTCTAGTTCCAAGAGAAAAGGCTTGATTCTAAATAGAATATCAAGGACGGGTGACTATCAGAAGGTGTCTCACTCTAAGTCTAATTTTACTACACTCTGATGATAGATAGCTTCTGAAAATTGTCAGTCTCTGAGATTTAGAAAATGAATCTTTACTTCTGATAAAGCAGTTTAAGTAAGAAATAATTTTTAAAAAACTCTGTTTAAATAAAATTCCATAAAATTGATTATCATCTGGTGGATGCAAGAAATCTGTTGGGTAAGAACCTTAGGGCAATGATGTTTTCTTTGATATATTTCTATTATTTGTATCCCCTATCTTTATGAAACATCATTTTATGTCTTTATTCTATTCTCCTGACAAGGTTTTTATTCCTTTAGAGTCTTGTTCAATTTCTTTCTTTTGTTTTCTTTCGTGTTGTTCAAACCAAACTTGAGATGAATTCTTTAGTCAGTTCTCCTTTGAATCAACTAGTTGTCATCAATGAAAAGTTTGTGGATTTTGATGAGTTGTTTAAACGTGTTTTTAACTTTCGGAAGACTGTGTCTGAACAAGGTTGGAATGGATACTTTGATATGCTATGTGGTTTACTTATCCAAGTCTTGTCAAAGAGTTTTGGATTAATGCCTCCATTGTTGAGCTAAGTTATGAGTGTGATATTCTTTCCAAAGTTTCTAATGTTTCTATAACAGTAACCTCTAAGACGATTGTCAATGTAATCAACTGTAAGGATATTAGAGAAATGTTTGTTTGGAAATACTATCTTCCTATTTGGCGTACTTTTATGGATCCATCAAACATCTCTCAGGTTTCAAATCTTTGTTCCAATGCAGTTATTTAGAATCAGATTCTGAATTCAAACTTGCTACCTAAAGACGAAGATCTGGACCTGGTGAACCCTATTGAAAAAGATTTACTATTTTTTCTCAATTCAGATTTGCATATTGATCCTCCTCAAGTTATGTTTGACTATTTGAAGGAGTCTCTTTCATTCTTTCACAAGGGAAAAACTTTCTTCATTCCTTATGGACGATTTCTTTCTGAATTGTTAATCCAACATGGAGTTATCATAAGTTCAAAGGATGATTCTTCTAAAATCTTAAGAGAAAAGCTTGGACCTATCTATGAGAATTTTTGATGTTTGATTTCTGCAAAATATATGCCTTGTAATTGTTAAACATCTCGTAATAAGCAGTCTTGTTATTTAAAAATTGTTCTTGTTCATATTATTGTTCAATTTCTTGTTTATATTAATTGTTATATATATATGTTTATCATTTTGTTCAAAGAGAATAATAAATAG